AAAAAAAAATCCAATTTAAAATTTAAAAAATCCATTTTTTTTTTTAAAGATTTTTATCCACCCTGGGTAATTCCTTTCAGGAAGTTACCAGAGGTGCTATCTTTTCTACAATGCTTTAATCCACTTCCTATTCTGTTTACAGGCTGTTTGCATTTACAAATACACTCATCAAACTTGATTGCATTCATATGCTAAAAACTCCTCTAACTATTGGCATTTATATAACATTTTCAGCAAATCCAAAGCTTTTTGCTAACCTTAAGCAATCTTTGTAAAACTGTTAGGGTGTACTTGATTATCGCTTAATGGCCTTCAACTTTTTAGTTTTGGATTCAATTGGATTAGTTAAAATTCAATTACTTACCATCTTTGTTTAAGTAGTGTGTTAATTGAAGGCGTTTTCTTAAAAGAACTGTGCATATTGGATGTAGAATAGAAATGTAATTATAATGGCGTTCTGTCTTGAAAGTGGGTATTTTTCTACCCATGGGGTAGGATAGGAATATAACAAGTGCTAAAACATGTAAATATCACCTGTGAATAAAAGTAAGTTAATGCAGGTATAAGTAAGGGGGAAAAGAGGCATGTTTTTCTTCTCTTGCTATAAATGTCCAACTGTTTTAAATTACATATGAAATGTTAATGTAGTACTCTGTATATGTATGTCTGTGTGTATGTATGTATGTATGCACACAGTGTGTGTGTCGGTTTTTGAAAATACATAAGCCTTTAAAAAAAAGATACAAAATTGAAGGTTTTAATAGAACTCAAGCTTAGGGTGAAAATCACAGGGTAATAATACTATTCATTAGTGAAATCCACCTGCTCAAGAATTGGAAGAAAAACATATGGTGTTTACTTACTCAGATGAAATCCCACAGAGTAATAGTCATCTGGATTCCTGAAATCCTTGGTAAAATAACAACTCTTCATTCACTAGGCATGTGCCTGCATATAGAGTCAAATTATGGTAACATACACATATATTTATGAAATTAAGCAATTTCAGGTGTGGTATTTCATAGCTATGAGTGAAGAAATTGTTTTGGTTTCTTTCTGGGTCCTAGAAATGGAGCCATTTAAAACAAAATGGTGTCCTTATCACCTTGCACTTCAGTTAGTAGACATAATACCATTGGAGCACTTTTTTTTTCTTCGTTGGATTTTCTTTATCTTCTGCACTTTTTGTAAGATTTAAAGGCATTTTTGCTTGAGCATCAGATTGTATGTACCTGCATGTCATATTAGACCATAGTTTACTGCCACCCAGATGAGCCACAGTGAACAATGCTTGGCTGCCTCTCTCTTCTGTATGGCTGGGAGATTAAAAGCTTAAATTATGGCCAGTGTCTGTCCTGATAAAACGATTAACACGTTAAGTATATGTTATTTAGCTTGTTAATCCAAACAAGTTGAAAAATTATTAGAGCTTTTTAAGATTAACCATAGCTAACATCTAACAAAATAACGATCTGAAATGTAATCAGAAAAGCAAGAACTACAGAAGAAAATGGACAATAGGAGATGTGTGGCTTATCTGTTGCACTAAACTGTGGTTTGGGGTGATGTGTAAATTCTGCTACCTGCAGCAGTCTTTTTACCATCCAAATTATGCAGCGGTTATAATTTGCAATACTGTCCTATATGGATGGCCACTGTTGCCAAATATATCATTTTATCTATCCATGGCAGACACTCCCCTTAAAAATATATTTCATACAGTTCAGGTTTTCTGCTCTGTCTGGAGATATCTAATGTTCAAAGGCATCAAAATGAGTTTTATCACACCACCTGTCTTTTTTGATAGTACTTTGGTGCACATATTCTTGAGTTATAGTTGGGGAGGTGTTTACTTAATGTTTCTCGTCTGATACAAACATTAGTCTATCAGTTCAACACCGCACTGCCGTAAATAATGTAGTTGTAATGCTGAAATTGTCCTTAGCTTCTTCCAAATCTGAGTTGAAAGAAAACAAATGTTAGGAAACGGGGCCCAATATTTTTGCATTATCATAAGTGATCTGGAATTATGAATGAGAAGTAAGCATGTTTGTAAAAGATATCAAATAATTTATTGTAGTTAAGCCCCTCCCCCCCAGTCCCCCATGGAATTAAGAACTTCAGCAGGAATTTTCAGACTTGGAAAATTGAGGTTACAATGGCAGCTAACACTGTAAAACATTTCTGGTATTTTAACTGTAACATGTTTTTTTATTTGCAAGCCATCCAGAATTGTTGACTGAGATGGGCAGCTATAGAAATTGTATGTATGTATGTATGAATGAATGAACAATATAAGCAAATAGGAAGTCATAACTGTTGGGGCAAAACGGTGGGTTCGGATCCCGTCGCAACCAGTACACTGCGACAGGGCTGGGCATCCATCACGTGTACGCGCGCTGCGAACACATGCTCACAACCGCCCTGCGATGTTCCAGCTGCTCGGCAGAGCATCACGCAGGCACCATACGCTGTGTGCGCATGCGCAAATGGCCCGGTTGGGTCAAATGCAGGTAAGGAATGCAAGCGGGAGCTGGGCCCTCCGAAGCACCATACCAGAACAGTATGCCCGTACTGGGGCGTACTGGCCGTAACCCACCACTGGGGCAAAACCTATAGATGTATTTGGGGTCAGCTTTGATAGTGTTTCACCACCAGGAAAAGTCTAATTTAGAGCAATAGCGGACAACTTACTAAAAATATTGTTCCATTGTGTTGCTGTTGTTTTTTGAAAAAGTAAATTGCATGGTGAGAACCACTAGAAAAGGAACTGGAAATAAAAATACAGCTGCCATTTTATTATCCCTATAATACATTACGCAGTTCAGGTCACCACGTCTGTGAAAGAATTAGTGAAACTGAAGGAAGAGCATAAAAGGGCATCCTAATTCTGAATATGCCATTGCTATATATGGCCCAGAGTGTTCTTAAAATTGACTTCTATAGGAATGGAAACCAAGATTACATTTATCATAATCTTGATTCAGGATTCCCACCTTCTATTATTGTCAAGCTTGTGTCCTCCAGGCCCAGCTATAGTGAAATGATATAAATGGCATACCAAGTTATGAAGCATGAAAGGGGAGCAATCAAGGCTTCTCTTTGTCCCTTTGCCGAACATGTAGCTTCTACAAGGAATGCTTGGATGAAGCTCTTAAGAACCTGCAAATCGAACTATCTCCCGAGGGGGGCGGGGGTACCATTAATAAGAAGACCTGATGGTGTTAACATTTGAAATAGAATAAACGTTAGGCAACTCCATTAGTTTAGATGAGTAGTTTAGCTCGTAGTTGTACCCACTTACAAGCAGGCTCCATTGAGGTCATACTAATCATATTTAGGTCATATTTATCATATTAATAAATTGTTGTTTTAAAAAGGCTTTAAAAAGGAGGTTTTGGGGAAATCACCTTCCTTAAATGAAAAGTTACAATTGGTAGCCTTTTTCTACTAACTACTTTTAAGTGATCCTTTCAACAAATCATTAAATAGTTCAACCTTTTCTCAAAACCTGCATCTTATTAGAAAGTGGACATGAGAAATGTGGTGTTAAATAGGGATGTGCAGCACTTTGTATTTAGGAATTTGGGCGTAACTCTTTAAAGCAGTCTCCTCTTTTTCTGACATCATACGGAGGACTTCTGAAACTATCACAATAATGTCAGGAAAAGATGGGTTTGCTGACTAGTTGCTGGCAAGCACAACATACTGTACATACTCCTGAGCACTGCAAAGCCACAGAGCCCTCATGCAGCCCTAAAAGAAAACATTTTTTGAGAAATAAGAGCCAGCAATATATAAATATCGATGCTTGCTTCATCATAATTCTCTAATTCACTCCCTCTTTTGAATGGAATAGAAATTCTGATCTGCAAATCATTTCAGAGCTAAAATTTATTTACAAGTAGAGTTGCTTCTTGAAAAAAATGACTCACATAGCATTCTTAGTTTCCCTGTCATTCAAAAGGATATCTTGTGAAATGGAAGAAAAATTTCTGTTGCTACTGGCTCTCAAAAAACGACAATTACTTAACATTTAGCTGTATGTAAACAAATAGAATATATTTCTGCTCATACAAAAGTCTCTCCCTCCTTACCCTTTCTTCTGGTTCTAAGTATTTCCCAGTGTGTCACTTCAATAAATTTGTGGTTTTGTGGTGCATCACCCCGAGAACTGTTTTAGCTGTACAGTATAGTAGAACTTACGACCATAAATGAGGCCAAAATTTATGCTGCTAAGTGAGTTTTGCCCCATTGTAGTACCTTCCTTCCCACATTTGTTAAGTGAATCACGGCAAGTTGGCAAATTAGCCACACGGTTGTTAAGTGAAGCTGGTTTCCTCATTGATTTTGTTCGTCAGAAGTTTGCAATAGCTGATCACATGACCCCTGGGCCCTTCAACCGTCATAAACAGGAGTCATTTGCCAAGCACCTGAATTTTGATAAGCTGGCTATGGAGATGCTGCAGTGGCCATAGGACACTTTTTCGGTTACATAACCATGAACAGTCATTAAATGAACTGTTGTAAGTTGAGGACTACCTGTCATTAGTCTTAGAAATAAGAGAATGGATAAAATAGCTCTTAGATTCCAATATATCGTAATATATGAGAGCCAGTTTAGTCCTGGTGGTTAAGACATCAGACTGGAAACCAGGAGATTGTGAATTCTAGTCTTAGTGCATAAAAGTTAGCTAGGGAGCTTGGGTTGTTTACACTTAGGTTGTAAAAGGGTTGTAAAATCAGTCACAGTCCCATGGTGATCTGCTTAACGACCACAACTTGCCACTGTAATTCTAGGGTCAATTATGGTTGTAAGTATAGTACTACCTGTGTTGCTTTCAGTAAGATCTAAAATGGCTGACACATTAATAGCAGTAGTTTTATGTGGTATGTACTTACATAGCAGAATAACAGACTTGGAAAGGACCTTGGAGGTCTTTTAGTCCAACCTCTGCTCAAGCAGGAGATTCTATACCATTCTGGACAAATAGCTGTCCATTTTCCTTTTAAAAACCTTCAATGATAAAGCACCCACAACTTCTGCAAGTGAGCTGTTCCAGTGATTGATTGTCCTCACTGTCAGGAAATTTCTCCTTAGTTTTAGGTTGCTTCTCTCCTTGATTAGTTTCCACCCATTGCTTCTTGTCTTGCCCTCAGGTGGTTTGGACTATTCAGGTGCACCTGTCTTCAGATGCTTTGGAAGGGTTAAATCCCCCCTTCCTTGTGGAAGCCCCTCAAATATTGGAGCATTGCTAATATCTAAGAGCAGTCTCCCACAAACACTATCCTGCGTGGTAGGCTGAGCTGAGAGAGGGTGATTGACTGGCCTCTGTTCCCAGTGCCACATGAAACTGCTGGCTCTTGTACATTATGGTTAGAAAATGTCATTTTATTGAGGCATTTTCCCCCAAATTTCCCTCTTGCTTGGACAGAAGCAATAGCAATTAGATTTATATATCGCTTTATGGTGCTTTACAGCCCTGTGTAAGTGGTTTACAGAGTCAGCATATTGTCCCCAACAATCTGGGTCTCATTTTACCAACCTGGAAAGGATGGAAGGCTGAGTCAAGGAAAGTGTTTTTCTTCCTCAATGCAACTGTTTCCTTCTGTCATTATCTTGTTTACAGACTACACTCTAAATAAGATGTGTCATATTTAAGTCAAACATGCCAAAATAGGAAAGATGTTATTTACCAAAACATCTGCGTTTATAATCTGTTGATGAAAAATGCTGTTAAACTCACTTCAATTTGTAGTGTCAGATATATATATATTTCACTGGTTTTTATTTTCTAGATACTGCACTGAATTATTCCGAGGACAATGAGAACAGCCATTTCCTCTACAAGAATGCTGAAGACAGTAGTGTTAACGCTCAAATAGCAGAAATTTCTGGATACAACATTGAACTCAAGGAATCACATGACTCTTGGGATTGCCATATTGCCAATAGAGACTCCCCTTCAGACGTATCCCATACTAAATCGCTAATCACTGGCTTATATGATTGGGAAGATGAGAATGAGGATGCCCAAAGAGGAGAATATATGTTAGGATTTGATGACGATCCACTTTCAGAGATAAAACACAAGGATGAAGAGCTGGTCAAGGAAGACATGGAGAGCGCAAAGGAAGCCATTAACGAAGAACTGATGCAAACTGTTCTCAGGCCGAGTAACTGTCGGACATACTGTAGATCAAGCAAAACAAAATTGCAGGGAATGTCAAATTTTGATAAGCTGCTGGATGGCACCCTTCAACCTCTAGCCAAAGCAAACAGTGATTCAAATGCAGATGGTGTGAACCCAGTAAGAAAAGTTGCTGTAAGTAGTGGGACCAGTTTTAAAGGCACAGGAAGGACTAGAGACTACACTGTTCTCCATCCATCCTGCTTATCGGTTTGCAACGTCACCATACAAGACACTATGGACCGCATGGATGAATTCGCCACGGCCGCACCCACTGACCTGGGGGAAGCGGGCCGCCTGCGGAAGAAAGCCGACATCGCTACGGCCAAGACCACGACTCGATTCCGACCTAGCAATACCAAATCCAAGAAAGATGTCAAATTAGAATTTTTTGGCTTCGACGACAACGACGAAGGCGGGGGTGGTGAAGGCGGGTCCAGAACATCTGGGAGCTCCAATTACAAAATTAAATACTTTGGTTTTGATGACTTAAGTGAAAGTGAGGATGATGACGAAGAACGACTGTTAGAGCGGAAAGTCAATAAAAAAAGAAGCCAAACCATAGTCGCTTCTTCTTCGCAACAATCCACTTCGGATGGAAATGAGAGCTACTCCCAGGATAGCCAGTCAAGTTCCAATTCAGGTAAGTCAGCATCTCCCAGGGTGTTTAACAAACACATGTGGTTTTGCCCACTCAGGTAGAGGGAACTAACTCGTTAAAACTTAATTTATTTACGCTGAAAATAAGCAGCACATTTTTATCTGTATTTTTTGACGAAAATCCGGAGAATAAATTACTACAGAGCACACATGAACTGAATTTTCCTGATTAGTAATTTGAAAGTGTGAGTTTTATCATTAAATTAAGAGAGTCTGAATATTGTGTTAAATTGTAATATCAATCTAATCTACTTTAGCAGAGTCAACCTTGTAGGGTGACATTTGCTCCCTGTGGGACAATAGAGTAATTTGTTTATTTTTTAAAGTTTCTGCTTCTTGGCGCTAATTGGATTATAATTATATATCCTAATAAATAACATCGAGACTTTGATACATCAAGATGTCTCAAAAATAGATGAGCAGATTCTCAGCTGCCTATGTTTACCCACCTCTGGAAATCAAACTTTGTAGAAAAGCTGAATATCTGGATCCTTAGAAACACTTTTCCATTCTAACATGCCTAATGTTAAAGTGTAGAATGACACTAATTTTGAATATGCAGAATTATATTATTTTAGAAGTCTTCCAACACAAAGATATATCGAAAAAGGAATAGTAAACTGAAAGCATCCTTGGATACAATGTAAGTGTTGAAGTGATTCAGGTAATAGGAAACCAAAACAAGCTGAAGAATTTCTAGCGAAGTCTTGATTATCCATCCTGCATTTTTATATAGCTTGATGTTTGATAGAGAAAAGTAATTTGGACTTTATAAAGTGGTTCTAAGCAGTAACAGGTAGCGTATATTTGATTTCAGAGTCTTTATTTGGGAACATTTATTAAAGTGATACAATGAATTGCTTGTGAAATAATTAGAAGTACATGTTGTAAATTTATTTCATCTACTGAAAAGATGTACAATCTGCAAAAAACCCATCCATCAACATTAAGGAAGTGATTTTTTNTATTTTTCTATTTTTAAATTTAAACTGTTTCTGTCTTGCTGTGAGCCGCCCAGAGTCCCGATGGGTGTGGGCGGCATACAAATTTTAATAAACCTTAAACCTTAACCTTAAAGGTAGTTTTAAGACATAGTTGAGTCTCTTTACATTCGTATATGTTCATAAAAAATATACAACCATAGTATGTCACAAATGTCCTTCCTTAAAAATGATAATTGGAACCAGAATTCTATCACTAAGCAGTGCGGTCATAAAGCATGATGTTGGGTGACTGCGCTACTTAGCAATGATAGTTTTGGCGGTTCCCAGTTTTGCTGTTAAGTGAGGCCTTCACATGACTATATCTTTTGACTTCCTACCAACTCTCCCACTGACTTCGCTTGTGGGAAGCTGACAAAGAAGGTCCCAGATTTGATCACATGACCGTGGGATGGTCTGATGGTTGACAACCTAGGCCGGTTGCCAAATGTATGTGACCTGATAGGTGTTTGGAAGTTTTGTTTAATCTGTGCAATACTGTATAGCTGCTTAAGAACTAGATATTTAATGAGGTGTATTTAATTAATACAGGGCCTTGACTGCTAAATGATTTTGTGGTTCTCATATACTGTGTCACGGCTTGTTATATTAACTTAAAGATATAAGATATTAAAATTGTTTTCAAGATTTACTCTCTCTCGGATTAATTTTGAAAAATTCTTTCCTACCTCTTTAATACCTTTTTCATTAAAATTTACAAAACCAAAGGCATATTCTTGGAATTTGAAACAATGAAATGGGATTTCAGTTTTGATGTTAGAGGATTATCTTTACAATTTAAAATTAAAATATCGAGAATGTTTTTAAGGGAATACTTCAAGGAATAGAAATAATATAATTATATTAATATAATATTCTAATAGTATATTGGAATATTTTGAGAAAAGAAATAAAATAAAATAAAATCTCCTCTTAACTGGCACCTTTAACACTCGGTATTTCTGAAGAACAAACTGGGTACCTTTCAGAAATTAATGTTCTGTTTTAATTTTCAGTCACCAACAAAAGCTGTGTACAATGCTAGACATTGGAATCAGCCAGAATCTGAGGTTCTCCCAGCAACACAAGTGCTGAAAAATCCCAACGTTCCAGTGAGTATGGTATTTTTATACCGCCTTTCTTGAAAAATTAACTTTGAAAAAGGTTACGGTCACACATATTCACCAGTAGAAAGAACTATTCTGAACCACAGTTGCCGATTCTAGTGGTTAAGGTCTGGAATAGAATTTCTGACATCACAACATTGGAGGGTCACTTAAAGATAGTCAGACTTGTGCCATAAATATTTTGGGAGGAAAGAGAGGGATAATGGCCTAGGATTTCATTAGAAAGCATAATATCTTAGGTTCTACATTTTTTTCCCTTGAATGATTTTTCTAGGTTGTACAAAATGTTGTCAAAATAACATTTTGCTTATTAGGTTCTCCAGTTTTGTATTGTACTGTATAGTTGGACCTAAATATTCCTTTATATGTTTTTGTATCTGCGTTGGGTATGTGATTTGATCTAAAATAAGTTTCCCAATCTCTCAACTTGAAAATGGTGAACTTCAATTCCCAGAATTCCCCAGCCAGCATGGACTGTCCTTCACATGAACTATGTATTTAAATTAATTTCAAATATCCTTGCTCCATAATAGGAAAGGGAATTAAGCATAATGCAACTTTCAGTTTATCCCATTGCCATGTCAAGTTTTATAAATATCCCAGTCATCCTGAGGAAGAGCATTTTGGGATCAGATAGGAAGGCACACAAAGCAGAAAATGTGCTTTGATTCAAGTTTGGAATGAAACAAACCCACTCAAAATGTTCTTGGTTGGCTGGATAGCATAGGAACAAAACTCTCAATAGAACAGCAGGAAAAGGTTAGCCAAAGGAATAAGTAATCTATGTTGAATGCTAAAGATAAAGGTTTCCCTCGCACATATGTGCTAGTCGTTCCCTATTCTAAGGGGTGGTGCTCATCTCCCTTTTGAAGCCGAAGAGCCAGCGCTATTCGAAGATGTCTCCATGGTTATGTGGCCGGCATGACTAAATGCCGAAGGCACACGGAACACTGTTGAATACTGCCTTCTACCTAAATTGCAGAAAATTTGGGCAAGGGCATGATTTTTTTAAAGAAACTGAAGTCAAAGAAGTTCCTGTAGGAAACAAAGGAATAGACCTCTTCTCTATGGTAAATTAATATTTGTTTCTTATAAAAATGTCCCTTCCCCACAGAAAATGTAAAAGATAGTTTTTCAGGTTGTTTTTTAAAAAAATAACATTACTTGGTCTCTTAGAATAAAAAGAGTAGCTAAACTCCTTCCTTCCAGTTATAACATATATTTCAAGTACTGTATATCTCCTTTTTGATATTTTTAATAGGGTTTTTTTTTCCTCCTGAACCAATTTGTGCCACTCACAAATTTGAAAATCATAACTATGTGAAGCAAATCAGTATACACCCCTTCTGTAATACCTTATCAGCAAGAAAAAATGCTGCTCAGTGCCCATCCATCCAAGTAATTGATTTAACCTAACTATTCCTGACTCCGCTCACAGTTTCCAATACAATGTTCTGCTGCCCGTTTTTAAAGAATTCTTCCATAGTGTAAAATATTTATGACCTATGATATCAAAATCCAATCTCCAACCCAACAGAGCTTAAATGTGTTTGTCCCAGAAATGAATCACATTTTTATTATATATTGACCAAAGCATTTTCTAAGACCCTATTAGAGATAAATAAAAAGCTTCCAATGAAGCTGAGAATAGATGATATTCTATTAAATTTTCATTCTATGTAAATATGGCCAAAGATAAGCCTAGTAATATTTTTGAATATCTGCTAAATAAAACCAACATCCTCAAAATATAAATCTGGACCAATGAAATCCTTAATGACCTCTTTTCCCATATAAAATTCTTCAATGAAGAAAATATATATTCAGGATTAATATTGGAATACCTCTTAAAGCAGGATTTAAAACGCAGCAATTTTAAGATGCGTGGACTTAAACTCTGAGAATTCCTCAGCTTAGCATAAAATTGCTAAGATTGTATTAAAGGATAATAAATTTTGGAATAATACTGGAATAAAACATTAATTTTACCCCCTCAATTCAAGAGAAGCTGAAGGCCAAGTATAAGAATTAAAGTTCAAAGAGTATAAGTACTTTTTGAAAGATTGGCAGTGCAGGTTTCTTAGACAGTTTGGAACCATTGGGTTGGGACTTTCTTCTGAGTTGAGATATAAAATGGCAAATTTGAGACATACTGTATTTTTCGATCTATGAGATGCACTGGACTATAAGAAATACCTAAATTTAAAGAAGGAAAAACAAGAAAAATATAGTCTTTGGCCTCACGTTACATTTTGGCCCTCCCAGGCCCCCAGAAGCACTCTGCAGTACTCCACATGACCGGTTTTAGTCAAAAATGTGCCTGTTTTAGGCAAAAATGCATCTGTTTTTGGCCTACAGAGAGCTTCTGTGGCCTGGAAGGACGTAAATGGAATGCAAAGTGGGCTTGGCAACCCATAAACACCTGTTTTCGATCTATAAGATGCACCTAAATTTTCACCCACTTTTAGGGAGGTGGGAAAGGTGCGTCTTATACTCCCAAAAAATACAGCAAATGACTTCATTACTTCGGATGGAAAGAAATGTACATTCATTTTAGTTATTCCCTAGGACCTTTCCGAATAAACAGTTTAAAAACATAACACAATCTCGTTTATGTTGTGTTGGCATCTTTGAAGGGCTAGCCTTACATCTTCTAAAGTCTTATGGAAAGGGGACACGTTTCCCATCTTGCACTTCAACATCCATGTTTTCAATCAACAGGCAAGGTCTTCGAAAGAGGCAGTTCCTAAAGATGATGGGGTATTCAAAGCTCCAGCACCACCTCCCAAAGTGATAAAAACTGTGACTTTACCAACTCAGCCCTATCAGGAGATAGTAACTGCCTTGAAATGTAGGAAAGAAGATAAAGAAGTAAGTGGGATAACTCCAGTACTATTTTTCCACAATATACTTTTTTTTAAAAAAAAAAGTAAACACCTGAGGTCTATCTAGTCGAGAAGCTGAGAAGTCTCTTTTAGAAATGAGCAAACTCAATCAGCCCTTTAATTTCCAATCACTTATTGTTTGCTTGTTTTCCAGTTATACACTGTCGTGCAACATGTGAAACACTTCAACGATGTGGTAGAATTTGGAGAAAACCAAGAGTTCACGGATGACATTGAGTATTTATTAAGTGGACTGAAGAGCAATCAGCCCCTAAACACCCGTTGCCTTAGGTAAGATATTTTTCTTTGGATGGTTTCTTCCTTAACCTTCGTAGATAATTGCATGGAGGTATGGTGAGAACAGGAAGGAAGCTGTTGGTTAATTTGAAACTGGCAACTTTGAGACTGAGAAGTTTCATATTGGTGCTGTGGTGCAAAAGTCTTACTGATGCTACATCGAACGTGTTTTAGTTAAGAGGCGTACTTGACTCCACTCTTGGGCAGAGTCAAGCCACCACTTTGCATGGAGACCAGGAGAGGCAACAGATCTGCCATCTTTCTGACCTACTTCATATAGCAACCCCTCCCTTCTATTTCTTCCGTCTGGTGTGGCTTGCTCTCTCTCCCTGCCGTTTTGAATAGGCCACTCTGGGGCGACCCTCCAGAGTTGTGAATCATGATCTTATAAATGTCAAGAAAGGCCCCAATGTGACTTCTTTTCGTTCCAAGCCATATAGTCTCCCTTAATTGGGCTGAAAGTCAGTAACAATTAAGTTATACAGATTGTCACTTGTCTTCATTGCAAGTCAGAAGAAACAAGGGTTTCCAACAGCAGTGGATGCTGGAGCAGAGAGAAAGGTTGTTCTTTCCCTTCAGTGTCTTCTCTGCTTTCCAGCTCTCCAGAGTCATCTAATTCCAGGGTAACCTTATCCTCGTGACAAGGTGGAGTTTTATGAGTGACTTGACACGAAGTGACACCTCTGAAAATCTCCCATACTTCAGTTCATTCAGAGAGTAAGCTGATACCGTGTTAGAATGCAGCTCAGTGGACAAATCTTGCTAAACCATCCCATAGTTGATTGCCGTTGGCTTAGTTGGATGGATGAAGATAGACACTGGCACTTGTTAAATCAACCTTGGTTAACGGCAAGCATGATACGTGAGCTCGGTTTGTGTGTGCGTATTGCGTAAGGAACTTGCTTCACTGAAGCTAACATTCTCCCTTGTACTAAAGAAGCAGCGATGACCATTTCCAGAGTGCTCTTCTGTCTTCCTTGTCTTCTTTTTTAACTAGTTGTGATGGGTGTGCAATTAGCCTATGTGTGATTGTCAGGATTCCCCTGCTGCTTTACATCCCCTGATTTGATTGGCTCATTGAGCACACAGCCCCCTTTGGAGATTTTTGTGATCTTGCTGATGTCTATTTGGGAGCCTCTCAGCTCCATTCGACATGGGGAGGGGGGATAGAAGAAGAAAGGAAATTGATGGACTGAAAGAATTGAGCATGGAGGAATTAGCCAGGGGGAATAGCAGGCTAACAGATTTCAAGCTTTGTTAAGCAAACTGGCTACAGCTTGGATGGTGTTTTCCAGTCTGGCCACATCCAGGTAAACTGCAACTCCCAGAATTTGGTATTGCCAAAGACCATACTAGCTGAAAGTGGCACGTTGGAGACCCAACGTATTTTTAGGAACAATGGGATATGTGGCCCAAGAACATAGCTATCCATTCGTGTTTGTTGTCTCATGCTTGGTACACTTCTAGCTTACTAAAAGAAGGCAGTTGGATGCCTGTAGCTAATCCTGGCCATAGGAATGTATGGTAAGGATGGAGTTGGGTAGCAAGATTTGCGGTTGTCGTCACACTGCTTCCTAAAAGATGCATTTGACTAAAATTCAGCTAATTTCAAGGTTTGCAAAGTTGAAATTACTGGGACAAGAAGTCATTGGTGGATCTTCCTTTCAGAAAAAAATGAGGTTTTTTTTTTCATTTACACCATTCTAGTGAGGTTGATTATAGGAGACGCGGTGGCTCAGTGGCTAAGATGCTGAGATTGTTGATCAAAAAGGTCAGCAGTTTGAATCCCTAGCACTGCGTAATGGAGTGAGCGCCTGTTACTTGTTCCAGCTTCTGCCAACCTAGCAGTTTTAAAGCATGCAAAAATGCAAGTAGAAAAATAGGGACCACCTTTGGTGGGAAGGTAACAGNACACACACACACTTTTACTCCCAGCTATATTATATTCTAGAAAAATACTTAACACCTACAGGTGCTACGAGTGGAACTCTTTCTCTATTTATTCCCACTTTAAAGAGGAGTCCCCCTTTTATTAAACATTTATATTAATTGGCTGAGACAGGCTCTACCCCAGAGCATAATCCCCTTCCATGCCTCTTTGTGTTGACACTGCTGTCATTCTAGATTAGTGATTGTCGGAGGTTTCAGACTTCAAGCAACGTTCTGCCATATTAATCAGTTGCAACTTAATTCCACTAAGTGAAGGTAGTCTTATTCCCCAACTGCAGCCTATTCGGGAAATTAGCAGTCTCTTGCTTGCAAATATTTAGAAATCTGCTTTTAGTCTTGATCATTTGATGACGACAAGACTAAAGAATAGCCATCTGTGTCCATAAACCCTCTGCTACTACATGGAGTGTAATAAATAATTTGGAGCAAAGACTTTGTTTCTCTGCAGTACTCAAAATGATGATTCCATGTTTTTTGCTCTATACTGGAACCAAGTGAGGCTTTTTGACTAGGCCAGTGATGGCTAACCTTTTTTGGCTTTTGGCTTGTGTGCCAAAAGCAGGGGGAGCGCAGGGGTGGGTCGTCCGTGGGCGTGTCACATCCATACTGCTATATGCGCGACCCCACGTGCATGCATGTGCAACCAGCACTCCCCCTCCCACTTTTTGCACACTTTTTACACCCTCCCCAGGCTCCAGAGGCTTTCTAGGATCCCGGGAGGGCGAAAACAGCCCCCCCCTCCCCGGAGGCCCTCTGGAGCTTCAGGAACTTCTCTGAAGCCTCTGGAGTGTGGAAAACCGGCCCTACAGGCAAACCAGAAGTTTGGGAACGGACTTCCAGTTTGCCCGTAGTGCCGTTTTTTTGAGGGTGAAAACGGCCTCAAAAGAAGGCCGAAGTCAGCTGGCCAGTGCACATGCGTGCTGGAGCTGAGAGGGCAACCCCTCACATGGCCTAACAAATGGCTCCGCGTGCCATAGGTTCGCCATCACGGGACTAGGCCATGGGATAATTCGTCTTGGAATATGGGTTGAAACAAATTCAGTCTACTCTCATCAACAAGTTTTCTTCATCTTGGAAAACAGACTTGTTCTTCTGTAGTCTTTCAGCTCAGCCCTTGTTAATGTTTGGAGAAGAGAAAAAATGGACAAAATCCTGCCCATTGCTATTGTTAGAAGGTGGTGGCTTTGAATTATATGCTTGGGCAATTTGAATAGTTTGGTTACATATTTCACCCTCCAGAGACCGATGATGCTTGATATTTGCAACAATCTCCTTCTCTTTAATCTGTTCATTTATCACTTTAATTTATTTTGTTTAATTTATATTACATGCATTCTCTTTCATTGTTTGTTTGCTTCCATCTCCTCCCTAATACGTTTGTTCCCTACTTTGCTTCTTTATGCATATGACCTCTATTTTTTTTTAAATGTCCAGCTTCCGTTTGAACATATCCAGTGAAGAAGAATCTAGCACAATATCTCTCTGGTTCTTGGTGCCCCTGTCAAATTACTGTTATAGTTGGATTTTTCTCCCCCTAACACCCATCTAATTGCCTTCTTGGTTTTCCTTCTCTATTATTAAACACAGGAATTGCTTTCATAACAAATACTGTTTTGCTGTTCAACTTAATTATGCTTTCGTATTACAAATAGTTTATAAAATATGTTTTTGTAAGTGGTGGCCTTTTTCTTTAGTTACAAGGAAGAATCTGTCTGTTAGTAATGGAACCATGCATTAGGTATAAATATATTTAGAATTCTATAGTTTTGAACAATGTCTAGTAATTCGCCTAACATGTGTACTCTTCTGGCTACTTTAATTGGTTGGTTATCAAATGTCAGACACTATATAGATAAAAGTAGCTGTGTTTGGACATGTGTTTCATAATTTCTACTCTTAAAGAGATAACACCCCTCTTAATCTTAAAACCCCCAAATGGAGGGGTTGTCTAGAAATGATATTTGCCCTTCCATATTAAAACAATACCTCTGAATTCGCAGCAGGAGAGTTGGGAGGGTACTGTGTGGGGTAAACTCAAATCCAGCCTTGTGACTCTTTCTTGGTAAGGCTGTTTTCAAGTTAAAACATTTTAGCAAAAACATCGTTCCTGTTTCTAATTTCCTGCATGCAAAGTGGGATTTTGGAAAAGGATGGAAGTTATTTAAGAGGCAGATTACTGAGAAGAAGCACATGCCTTTTAAAAAGCTGTACAATCAAAAATACGAATGATTTAAATGTTAAAATAGAGTCAGTTTCTATAGGGAAGTAAAAATACTTACAAATACATCTTTGTGACAATTGCTTCAAATCCTCATCTATATTTGAAGGGGGGTTGCAGTTAAACCCCTTCCTATGTAGTAATTATTAAATCAGTGTTATTATATGGAATGGGAATACATAATTTCAGTTCATCAGGATGTTTTCACTGGGGTTTTGAGACTGTTTCCTTGTTAATGTTTAAGTTTTATGTTGTTATTTTACGATTGCCTTTTGCTTTCATAGAATTCTAGTTATTTTATTGATTAGGAAGTTATAGACTGGGTATTCTGAACTTTTTACCAGTTGAGGAAAGAGCATCTCTCTAAATAGATAAGCTTTTGCAGGTAGATAGATGTTGAAAAAGTTCTGCTGCTTGTATGTGGTCATGTATATGGTGACAGTTCTACAGTGTTTTGCCTTAATGAATTTAGCTTTTATGTCTATGAAGCTATTCTGAAGCTGATGTTAATGGCACTCGCCATTTGGCTAATGCTAAATTAAGATTCTTTCTACTATTAGAAGCTGGAAATTGCTTTATATAGCTGCTGTTGGTGGCAGGGACAATTGGCGATTAGCTAGGATTTTACTTAGCATGCATTTGAGGCTTTTTCTTTCTCCGTAGGCTGATTTGTCACCAAACACACTTAAAGAAAGCTTTTAAAGCTTTCTTTAAAAATAAATAAATAAGATGGAGTAGTTTATTTCCTCCTTGGTTGTAATTTCATGTATCTCTGCTCCCACCCCCACTCACTCAGTGGATCCTTTTCACGTGACTCATTTTCACAATCTTTTCTCCCCTTTTTATTTTTATCATTGTGGGGAATGTTACATACTCAACCATAATTGTAATCTGGAGTCCTCTGTTCCTCTTTTAAAATATAGAAGAGCCTGAAGCTACTGTGGTTTTAAGTCAAAAGAAGGTGGCTGTACGTTTTCCTGGAGATAAAATAGGTAAATTTTGCTGCCACTTTTTTTAATTTTATTTAGCAGTTTCCTCTCAAAAGTACTGCTGCTTTTTCAAGCAGATGCTATGTTTAATCGTTTCACCTTCGAAAAAATGAGATTTGTTATTTGTTAACCATATAACCTTTATTCTTGTAGAGTTGATGGACTTTGCAGAAGATTCATCCAGTGTTCTAGAAAGCAATAAGAAATCTACCAATTCGCAAGGCGATAAGTCTAAAGAAAATACACGAAAAATATTCAGTGGACCAAAGAGGGTAAGTAGGAATGTTTAAATCAGCTTCATAAGTTGATTGCCTTTTCAAAGGTCCGAACTCCGAATCCAACCGAACACAATTAAGAGCCTTTATTAGGACTTATCTAGTGGCGAATTGGTAGAT